ATAAATGGTAAAAGGGTTTCATTTTGTTTTTCCTTTTAACGACTTTGTCACTTTGCACCAGTAGTCCGTGTTTAAGTGACAACAAGCTGTTTAGCTCAATTTGCTCAAGGTGTCATGTTAGCTTATGTTATTAATTTGCGTCCGTCGTTCGTCTGTAACCTTCTAACATTACAAAATCAATACTTAAAAACACTTGAAAAAAAGAAAAGAAAATCAAACAATATAAATTTCAAAAATACATACGCTGAATGATGTCTACAAAGCAAAAATAAACAAACAAATAAATAAGAAAAAAAAATAATAACCCGACAAATGACAAAAAAAAAACCCAAAATAACAAACCCAAAGAAAGGAGTTTTTGAATAAAACATTTAAAAAAACAAAACAAAAAGAAACAAATATAACTCAAAAAAGATAGTGGGTTGTACAAGTAATTATCTTTTTCTCAACAAAAATTGTACAAGTAATTACTTGTACAATTATATGTGTACAAGTAATAGCTTGTATGATGGCATCGTACAAGTTATTACTTGTACAAAGTTTTTGTACAAAATAATAACATGTACACGACATATAGATAAAGCAATCTCTAAATAGAAAATGAACGTGGATGTGTATTTATACATCCCCCCCCCCCCAAAAAAAAAAAAACATTCGAAAAGAATAAAAATTTAGTTATGTTTTAATTTGTTGATGACAAAATCGATGTTAGTGCCAATGTAAACAATATTCAAAGATCTTATTACAACATTAATAAGATAACCTTTACTAATAAGTTTGTTTAAAGGTTCGATGAGTTTACACGGATCACATAGTGATTTCCACGCTTTCAGTACAATATTACCGTAAAAATTAGGATGTGAAATACCGTTTTTAATAAGTTTTCTGCAGGCACAGCCAAATTTATTAATCAAATCTTTGTTTCTATGAAATAATTTAGTAATGTTTTAAGTAATTTATGGTAACAAAATCCCTGACTTAATAATTTACCAGTGATGCATTGATTACGTTTGTTATTATCTATGACATCACTACACACACGGTTATAACGAACGAGTTGGGATATATAAACACCGTATGGTGGAGCCAAAGGCACATCGCCGTCTTAATAAAGGAAAATAAACAATAGGGAATGAAAATTCTTCTCTTTTGTCGTAAATTTTAGTATGGAGTTTCCCTTTAGAAATGTCTAAATCTAGAAGAGGACAACTACTTCTGTTTATGTAAGATTTATTTAACGTAAGTTCCTTTGGGTAAATTTCTATGGTATATTTAGAGAACTCTGGAGTATTTAACGAAAAAATATCATCAAGATAACGGTAGGTATTGTTGAATGTGTCAATCAAATGTAACAATGACGTGTCTTTACTAAGTTTGGCCTTAAACTGTGATTCACAGCAATACAGGAATAAATCTGCTATTAACGGAGTGCAATTAGTGCCCATAGGAATACCTACTAACTGTCGATACACTTTATCGCCGAAACGTACATATATGTTGCCCAGGATAAAATTTAAAGCTTCAATCATATCTTCACATTTCCAGTAAGTGTACATAGCTTACTTTCCTTTTTCGTACAGACAAAGGTTTTAAACGAGTTACAGCAAATAAATTTGCAATGAGAATTTTCAAAAGACCATTGAATTAAATATGAAAACTTTTTCTTGATAAGATTGTGTGGAAGTGTAGTGTAGAGAGTATAAAAATCATAACTATCAACAGAATTAAAAGGACCATCAAAAGCACGTATTTTTTTAGTTTGCACGGAAACTTCGGATATTTAGATTATTTAACGATTTGTTAAAGGATACAGAAAACGACCCAAAACGGCAAATAAACGTCTTAGGAAAGAGCCCTTAGAATACCAACGATCTCAATTGACACAGCGCATGCCAAATAACCCACAACCTGATTGTGGTTGCTTTGAGTTTTAAGACTTTTGTATTTTCAGTCGTTGTATGATATATACTAACAACATTACGATATAGTTCTTAATATTGCAGCAACATTGCTGATAGTGACATCACCAAATTAAACTTAGCACCGAGTTTGAACATGTATGAGCAACACGAAGGGTGGCACATGTAGAACAAACTGCTTGCCCTTCCGGAGCACGTGAGATCACCCGATTTTGGTGGGTTTCGTGTTGCGCAGTCTATAGTTTTCCTTGTGGTGTTTGTTTATTGTTGTTTGTCTTTTTGACGTCTTTTATCCACGGCGTTGTCAGCTTGTCATCGACTCAAAAGTTTGAATATATTTTGCCTCTCTTTTTGGTTTAATTTCCTCAGCTATGATGACCGGACTCACATCCATTTCCGCTGTCGTGCATGTTTAACTGTCGTATTTTACCCAAAATATTTACATGAAATATTTGATACTTTACTAAAAAAATATATTATATTTTCTTACTGATTTATTTTTCAAATACATTGTTATGAGATCAGTATTCGTCATTTATAATTTTTTGGTATATTTTTCAGGAGTCGGGAATAAATGACTTTAACTGACCGAAACATATTTTTGTTCTTCAATGTAAAACGTATAGTGTGCTTAGGTAACCATTTAGAAGACAAAGAAATGAAATGAACATTATCTATCAATTTAATTCTTGTCTACATTAAAGTGTCTAATACCTCCTCAAACAATGAGCGTAAGTAATTGTATTAACTTATAAGCTTTAATATAGAAGTGTTGCTAATAATGTGTTAAAACGTACTGCTTAAACTAGAAAGGTGTGAAAAAACCCATACAGTAGTCGATTACACATCATGATTCACCAGTTCTGTTTAATTGTATGAATATAAAATCATTTATAAGGCAAATGGATGCAAAACATATAATCTTCTTTCGTTTAAAATGTCAGTTATTATTTTTATAATAATGTCCTCACTAAAATATTTTAAAAGGCAGGTATTGTAATCTTTTTTCTTTCTTTAATCTAATTAAACAGTAAATATTTGAGAACTTTCAACAAATATATTGAATAAGTACGACCGAATTCTACAAAACCTATTTGTACCACAGCAATTTCTTTGGTATTTTGAAGAAATTGTTTTAATCGGTTAAATCAAAATTTCGAAATTATTTGACACTCTAATCAGCCCCATATAAGTGAGGACATCTTGCCAGATCGCAATACCTTGTTCAATGTGAACGAATGGTGCTGTAAATGGTAGATGGCTTCTTTGTGCTTTAGGGGATAAGTAGGTGTATAAAAGTCACATATTGGTGGAGAAATAAATAAGGAATCGAATGATGTAACATTCCTCTACTCGAAAATAAATCTATTACCATTTCAAGAGAGCAACTTGCCGTCACAAGTCTGAATCGACAATTTCCATGTTATGTGTATGGACTGTGTTTCGTTGTCCGACGCTCCCAAAAAGTCACAGATAGAGGTCTGATCAATTTCTTAATAGCTAAATTTTAAACCTGGTATCTTTGAGTAGTTTATACTGGGTATCAAATAAGTGCATTTACTAATATTACAATGTGTGTTTGTATATGTAGACATTTATCCGGTAGTCTAACCAGATCTGTTCAGTTATAAACATTTAATTAAGAATTTATTTATGGGATCCATACACTACGCTATAATAACACACCAAATATACAATAATAACATGAGAAAAGGTACAAAACTCGCAAACAATGACCCTATGTGCAGATTACCACCGCCAATAGGAAAACGATGAAGAGAAAAACAACAGCTCAAAACCTAAAGACTGAGCAACAAGAATCCGAATAAATATTGGGTGGATTGATCTCAGGTGCTCCGGATGGGTAAGCAATTTCTGCTATTTAAGTGACACCCTTTGAGTTACACATAGAAAGTTACAGTACTGTGATTAAACGCTCTCGGTGACGTAACAATGGAGGAAAGATGGTGATGATGGATGGCAATTTAACCTCCATCGGCTAATTTAATGCATATTCAGGACGAGAACATGTTAATGTAATATTAAAATTAACCCTGCTCTATACCAACCAACACGCTGAACGTGCTAGTTCACAAGATAAGCGTCCGCAGGAATACATGTCACACTACCCAGACACATTATTCCGACTCCGAGCCGACCATTCTATGCCTTTGCTCCTTAATGCCGCGTGCTTAGCGGAGAAGTAGCACATACCAATTCTAAAGTGTTTGGTTTGACCCGGTCGGGGTTCAAACCCGATACCTGCCGTACTCAAAGCGAACACGCTACCACAAGACCACCAAGGCGGTCATGGAGTAAAAAAGGAGGGAATTGTGGCTAGGACAAGTTAATCAGATCCGAAGTCATATGTTGTCGTATTGGATGATATATACATCATTATAAGGCAACATGCTTTTAATGAAAAAAATCAGGTAGAATATAAGTAGTTAATGTTTTCAATAGGGAATGATGAAAATTGACATCGAAGACACTATACAACTGACACAAATCAAAAGCAATGACAATTGATTTATACTGCAACTGTGTTATTTCCCCAGTCAAATTGCATTGATGGTGTTTACCGAAAATATTTCATGTTCAACAGTTGAATGCATTGAAGTATAAAGAGAATAATTATTAATTTTCTCGAAACATAAATTTTATTTGTACTCGGCTCGAAACAGCATATAAATGGTCGGTACAGCCTTGCATTCTACCTATTTCTATGCCATGTGCAAATAGTTTTTCGAGACAATGTATATCTATTTTATCTATATATCCGATCAAATTCATTTAAAAGGGAATAAATAGACAATATCAAGGATGACAAAGTGCAGGTTGTCGCAATTTTAATGATTATTTTTCATTGACATATTCCTCATATTTCGATTGATACATTCTTCTAAAAAATGATGCAATTGTGACTCGTGTTTTCTTTTTTTATATTGTGTATAGCTAACTTTTTAGACATGAGAAACCAAAGGGATAAAATACTCCGAACATGCATTATGTTTCCCAATGCTTTAAACTGTTTTCAATGAGGCATGAATGTTGTATATTGGAACTAACAAAATACTCAACTAATTTCGAATGAAAGTTTATTATTACAAGCAAGCTGACCTAATGTTATTGTATTATAAATATACAAAAAATAAATCAAAATTACATTAGAAGTTCAAAGGAGCCCCTGTTATTTTCTCTCTAGTTTTATAGTTTAAAAACTGGTTTCCCTGATACACAAAAGTTCATTAAATTCCATGACTGTTACAAAATTGTCAACGTGTTCCTTAATTGCTTTTGTATTAATTCTCTTTCGTTTTGCATTGTCCTTTGAAATAGTCTTGCCGATGCTGCATAAGGCAAACACTAACGTATTAAATAATTCTGAAGATTCAATTGATTATGGTTGTAATTATTCTATATTCTTTTATAGTTGATTCATACATAACAGTGGGCATGTAACATTTTCGTCGTTATTTAATCTATATTCTACTATATTTGCTATACAAAAGTCAAAAGGAATAATATAAAGCATCCAATATGATATTTCAATAGAACACTCATTTATTTTTTCCCTGAAACTGATGACAAACTAGTTTAGACACGTTTTTAATTCTACTAATTAAATTAACTGACATTTGCTAATATGATATTTTATATACCTTTATTTAAGCAAATATATATATAAATATATTGTACGGTTTATATAATCTGATAATATATCAGTTTTAAGTAAAATGGGAATATATGAAACGCCTTTTGTTTGTGCCTTCCGAAATCACAAAATTTTATTTATTATGCAGCAGAAATAATTAATAAAACGGTCAATGGATTGTTTATCAATAAATCATGATCAACATCTAATCAGCATCCCTTGAATGATACTTGTTCAACTACCATCATATCATATCGCCTTATTTCAAAATACCAACTTACATTTTAAATTTACTAATTATAGGTGCATAAACTTATAAACGACCAAAATATAATTTAAAACAACAAGTGCGATTCAAAAACATGTTTTCCAGCTTTTATCCCATCTTACTCAAAATAAAGGATACAACAGATACAGCTGAGTCTTCCTCGTGTCTTAATTTTCATCTACAAATTGACAATGAAGGTCAGATGTGAACAACAGTTTACGACAAAAGAAAGGATTTCAGCTTCCCAATTGTTACCTTTTATTTCGATGAAGCAATATTCCAGCAACCCTTGCACATGGAGTATATCTCCTAGTTGATTATATTACCGTGTTTGAGTTTCGAATAAAACTAGGATGACCTCATAAAATAAAAAAGAAATTGACGGACCAAACAATTGTCTTCTCATACGATCTCGCCATACACAGGTATTGATTTAATATTTTCAATACACTGTGAGCACTGTTATATATAAAAAAAAAGCTTATATAAAATATAATTCTATTTTAAGTAAAAACATACAAAAAGTTGCAGCAAGATTACAGTTTCATAATTACTAAACGTAAATATTTAATTTAAATTGCCATTTCCTAATTAGATTTAAGAACTGTTAAAACTTTTTCAGTTAATGATACATGATACACACGTAATTATTATTTTTTTTTATTTATATTTAAATTACCAAAAAATTTCACACAACAAACTGACATTAAACCCTTTCATTTTCAAAAATACTATTAGACAGAATATACATACACTCAACTAAGCAATACAAAAGCCGTGCTTTGGTTAATAAAAGGACATGGTGGTTTTTGTGATCATTGTATAGTCCATTGGGAATAACTTTATTATGGTTGATATTCTGGAAGTTCTAGCTTTGTCATTTGCTTCTCGTTGTCAACGAATTGCTCGTCTTTGACTTGTTTGTCTTTCTTCTGAAATATTTATTGATCGAAAATGGTCATTCGTTCATGTTTTCATATAAGCAATACCATCAACCATTGTTTTTTTTTACAAATGATATATAGTTTCTACGTCTAGATTAAGAAAAAAAATTAAACGACGAAATATATTGCTTTCTTCCAATAAAAAAATAAAAAGACAAACCGTAACTGTTGTATTGTCTTTCACATTGACAAATCTTGGGAACAAAGTGAAAATAACACTTTATAAATTTGATGAGTTTGGAGCGCTTTCCTTGGTTTTCCTTCATCCGGTACGCTCAAAGCCAAATATTTGAAAATCAAGGACGTATAACTACCAAAACACTTGAAGAGCTATATGACCAAAAGGGACCTAAAATTATTGTTCAAAGTAGTCGACACATAGATAGTCACTTTTTGTATTTTTTTACGGTTACATTTTGTTGGTGACATCACGTCAAATTTCTCTAATGGGGTTTTGTATTTCTAAGTTTGTAATTCATGTATATAAGCTGTAATTTTATAATTTTGATCAACTAAATATATGATATCACTACAAGAACACATAGTTAGAATAAAATGTCGATATGATCAAGTTGTCAAAATATATACTTAATCTTAACACATAAAGAGAGGCGAGAAGGTCAATTAAGTTGAATAATATACTATATTGACATGAATTATCATTAATATGGTCATAATTATAATAAACTGTTTACAAAACTTTGGATTTCCGAAATACTAATGATTTTCTACTCTTCGAATAGATAACATTAGCTGTATTTGGCAACACATTAGGAATTTTTGGTCCTCAATGCTCTTCAATTTCGTACTTTATTTGGCCTTTTTAATTTATTTTTATTCGAGCGTCACTGGTGAGTCTTTTATAGACAAAACGCGTGTCTGGCGTACAAAATTTCAATCCTTGTATCTATGATGAGTTTAAATATGATAGAAGCAATATAATGCATATATGGAAAATGTAACAATCTCACGGGAGGTCATAATGAAAAGGGCTTTAGAAAAAAGTGTAATTTTTTTCTTTTTTTATAATGAAATCGTATAAAGGAAAATATCGACCAATGAATGAAAATTATAAAAAAAAAAAACATACCGCTAGTTTGCATGGAGCCCATGGTGATGCACAGCAGTAGACTGATGCAGCAAAGGACACAATGAATTCTAGAAGGGATATAAGACCAGTTATGACAAGCAATTCCTTGTGGCTATCACGCTGTAATAAAAAAATAAATAAATGAAGACACAAATATTCCAACACAAATGGTAACATAGGATAGAAACACACATTGTTTGCAACTAGAAAGAAACAGTGTGCTTAATGTTAATGCATTCCCAGGTTATTCGAAACGTCAAAATGATGTTCCTTAAAAACCTAAGGAAAGTTCAGATGTTTTTGCTATCTTCGAAACATAATTAAGGAATAGCAGTACTGTTCTTACTATAATAATGCATAACAAAAATAAGTCTTACATTAGAGCTTGTAAAAATGTATCAATTTAAAATAAGATTAAGTCCGCGAAACTTTATGAAAGATTTTGACACATAAACATCATGGCAACACATAACGTCAAACAAAGGAACACTTTCAAAACGAATGTTATTTCGTAACTGGTACTATTCAGATTTGACGAATATATCATTGAAACGGCGTTTTTGAGATAGGTTATGTTCAATTTTTGATCATATTGTATAAATAAAAAATTTGAGAATTCCAGCAAATCAAGTCGGCTTAAGCGAATTTATCCAATGAAAAAATTATGTTCATGAAAATTGCATTAGAATTCTTCATATAGTTCTGTTTTGAACGCTGAAAAGCTTGGGTATACAAAAAAAAGGTAAAATTGGATGATATATTGACAAGTTAAATGATCTAAAATTGAGTCCGAGATCATCTTTCGTTTATGTTTCCAGAGAAAGTTGACCGATAAGAATATCTGCTAAGAATTGTAGTTGAAAATGATGATAGTGCATGACAAAAATTCAAAATATTTTAATTTAATCTTTCTTAAAACAAATAGCATATTTAAATGCCATGACTGTAGAGTGTTGAAAATATGTTTGGACTTACGAGTATAAAGTTAGTTAAAGCTGCACCAACAATGATGGGTACGAACAATGATGCTGCCATAATGCTGAAAACCATGAAAACCACTTTCTATGAAAAAAGAAAGAACGATCATATGTATCTTTTGATATTCGTGTCGGCTGATTTTTTTTAAAGCTTTCAATTTCAAAGAAGCAAACAGTAAACAAATGTCGTATTTGTACCAGCTTCCTTCATATTTTTGTGACGAAAATTCCCATTGAAATTATTTAAACCATGACAATATATCAATATTTGATTTACCAACTTATATCTAAAATATGCAAACATTTATAAGATGCACTAAGTCAGGATCCTTTTATTCGGTGGTTGTTTTTTTGGTACTGTTTATCATATTTGTTTTTCATTTATTGTGTTGTACATAAACCAGGCCGTTAGTTTTCTCGTTTGAATAGTTTAACATTAATTTTGTCATTTTTAGGCCATTAAATGCTTGCCATTAGGTATGGAAATTGGTCATTTTTAAAGGTATTTTGACCTATACTTGCTAACTTCTACGTCAATTGGTCTCTAGTGGAGAGTTGTTTTCTCATTTGCAATCACATCACATCTTGTTATCTAATAAGTTTTTTTTTTTATTTTATAGTAGCAACATATCTATAAATTACAATAACCTACAGTTTTTATCAAGCTGTAGTCTGCATTTCTTGCCATATAAGCTGGGATAACTCCTGTGACAACAATCTATAATAAATAGAAATAACACATCCATACATTTCTTGAAGAAAGGTTTGTTCACCAAGGATTACGATTTAAAGTTGCCAACCTTTCCCATACTTCATATAAATATGTTCATTATTTTAGCTATTTTTTTAACTGAATCGCTCTCTTTTGGCACCTTGGTTAGCAGATTTATTAAAAACAAATATGGGTTCCTAACTTCATTGTTAGACGCCGTTCAAAAGTTGAATTTCTTTTCAATACAAAGGTTAAGCAAATATCACATCCGGCGTCTGTATCATGAATTTGATATTGTCTCAATCATTCCATGCCCTTATAAAAAAATACAATTATGTTTAAAAAGGTAGACATTAGTCTTCTGCAATTCGATTATATTAGTTTTTTAGTCATAAATGAATACATTTGATTGATTAATCAATAAATAAATAAATAAATAAATATAATAATAATAATAATAATAATAATAATAATAATAATAATATTAATAATAATCATAATAATAATAACAATAATAATAATAATAATCATAATAATAATAATAAGAATAATAATAATAATAATAATAATAATAAAAATAAATAATATAAAATAGAAATATGATAATTTTTACAATTGTATTTTTGTTGTTGTTGCTATTGTTGTTGTTTTTGTTGATATGAACATTACTATTGTATTGATAACTTTATCTTTTTTGGGGCAAAACACAGTTTTTATTTGGTATTGTTAATAAACAAATATAACTGTCTTTGTGTTCTCAATAAAAGTTCTGTTATTATATTTCTATTATTACAAAGTTTGACGTTTGCTATAATACTTATAAACATCATTGTAACCTACCCAGATAGCAGACACCACGGATCCTCCATCTAGTCCGAGCATAATGGTTTTCTTATCAAACGAGAAGGTAGGTATAGTTGCATTTGTTATAACATGTTCTATAAAAAAATATAATGTATCAATTTGTATGACTGAGATATACTTATCTGTGGGATATCACTTATCTTCATGTTTGCATATTAACATTTATTACGTCGAGTGACATCAATGGCACATGTTAACAATATTTCAAGTGTTCCGTGTCCATGTTGATTGCATGAAGATAGATACTAAATGCTATTGAGACCGAAAATAACAATTTTTTAAATTTTTGTGTGTCTGAAGCGCTTAAGCGAAAAAAAACATTCTCATTTTTTTTTTCCATTCATATCTTTGTACATTCTTTTAACATGATACAGCGATCAACTCAGGTATAATATAACAATTATTATCATATTCAAGTGAAAGGAAAGACGAAATGGCTTATCATACCTTTCTTCCCCAAGTTGTCACAAACTTTCTTGTCGATTCCTATTGAAACGAATGTCATGATCAAACAACCTAGGCCAAGAAGTATCTGTATTGCACCATATCTTTTGAGAGAAGACCCTAATCTTTCCTTTGCAGTGACAACTTTCGATTCCATTGTATAGAACTTCATAACTAGCTTTTTTCAATTCTATAAAAAGAAATAAATCACATATATATAAAATTGTATAGGTTATGGAAAATTCGAGAATAAAGTATATATTCTAAATAATGGTTACGGCAATAGCAAAATATGGTCAACAATAAAAATCTCGAGCATAAACAAGTTGAAAGTAAACTTTGAAGAAACGATTAAATATTTAAATACAAATACACGAAAAATAAAGTCATATAAAGATAATGGCAAACAAGGACATACTTGTTGGGAAAGAAAAGGAAGACAATTATAAGGGTAAACTTGTTTTATGAGCATAAACACATCTTCATAAAGTTTTCGTCAGTGGACGAAAATTTCAAAATCAAACTGATGAAAATTAAATCACAATAGCATAGTACGTAATATACCATTTGGTAATTTTGTTTGGTATTCCCTTGGATCTGTAAATACCTATAATTAGTTTATGAGTTGCATTATCATAATTATAAAGGAAATGTTTACCAAACTTGGAATGTTTTGAAATACTAAGGATTTTCCCCGGAGTAGATACCCGTAGCTGTATTTGGCAAATTAACGGAATTCCGTGTCGCTTTTCACATTCGTACTTTATTTGGCCTTGTTAATTTTTTGATTGGAGTGTCACAGATGAGTTTTTTGTTAGCGAAACGCGAGTCTGGCGTGTAGATTTTTAATCCTGGTATCTATGATGAGTTTATTTGATCAGTTTATCAATTCCAGGTTTTGAAGTATGCGATGTTATATGGTTTCTTTGTAATATTACATGATAATATTCCCGATTTCAATTTAAAGTTTGAAATATTGTACGGACGCCTGTCTGTTTTGATGATCGTTTGTTGAACTTTAGATATTTTGTCAGTTTTCTCTGTAGTTGGGAGACTTTCTAATTGCCATATATCCCACATTTCCTTTAATTCATTCTGAACTTGCTATGGTATATTTATTCAGATGTCATTGAATTTTTACATTTCTTAGAATTTAGCCAGAGAATAATATTTATAAAATGAAGTGGAAATGGATACGTCTATGCTGATATTAAAACGTACAATATGTTGTAGATTTTCAGGAAAAAGAGAACATACAACGTGCTTCATTCCTATTCAGAGTGTTTTTTTTTGTAGCTTCATACGAACATCACATCGAACTTTTCACTTATTGTAATAATGTCTACTAAATTATACTAAAAAATTAAAATAATGGTTTCTGGCTATATTAAATGGGAACTGTTAGAACAAAAAAATCCCTGCATTACCAAAAAAAAAAAATGGAAGAAGAAAATACATAAATGAACACTTTAGAATAAAGTAAAAGAACCCCCCCCCCCAAAAAAAAAACAGATGGACAACTACATTGCTTAAGGCGCTTCTCGTATTTAAAAAAAGTCGATAGATTTATTTTACTTTTCCGATACAATAACTTGGTTTGAGACCGATGATAGATTATGTAAAAACCAGAAATATTGGAATCCCCTCCACAAGTATTATACATCGACTTTTTTTTCGGTATCGATGTTACTGAACGACTGTTTAAACAGGAACAGAACTAAACTTGTTTTTGTTCAGACATTTCAGATCAGAAATTTAAATGGTCATTAAAACTTTTTAAATCATTCGCCTTTTAACCTTTATCTCTTGTTAAATATTTCATTAAACATTTCGTAATATTCAGTTAACAATTATTTTTCTTTGTCCGTGCAGTAAGACTTACCAAATGTCTAGCTCAACGTTTATTTGGCACCAGAATGCAAGGCAGGAATCCTTATCTTTAAAATCCATCTGCAGTGGATGCTCTTTTATACAAGTATCAATACAACGTGACCAGGCATCTTGACATGTTGTTAAACCCTTGTAGTTACACTTCATAGTCCTTCAAAAGTTATGTAAGGCAGTTATGTAATGCAAATTTACATATTTTTTTACATTATTTAGAACTGCTATAATTCGCTTCGGTTTTTTTTAAGACTTTTGAACTCGTCAGCACTTATTTATTAGATTTTAATCTTATGAAATCAGCAACTTACCGAATTATGAATGTAATTATGTGATTGAAATATTAATGCAAAATGTTTTCACACTAAATAAATATAACTTTATAACTGGTATATGAGAATGAACATTCGAGACCTCAAAATAAAATTCGAGTTTCAATATTTGAATTTCGAATTTGATATTAAAGCTCATTAATCGAAAGTCGTTTTTGAACTTCAAAGAAAATCCCATTTTTCGAAATGTCTTTAGTAAACTGATAAAAATAAAATAGGTATTTAAAATAAAACAGTCCTGTTTTGGTAATAAATTGTTCTGTATTGTCTAAAATAAATGTCATGAATGTGTAGGACTTTCTGTCATCAGACAGTGACTTTGATTATCATGACGATTTTTCACTTCGTTTTGTTAACAAATTCGTAATGGTTTGATTAACTAAATATACCTTTGGCCATTACATATTTTGGAAAACTGTTTGACTAACATGGACATGCATGCAATGACCATGTACAATATTTCAACATTTGGAAACGACACTTTAATAATGTTCATACTGGAACTTGAAAAGCATCCTAAATACACTTTGAACGAGAAGTTTTGTACAAGTCAATTACACGCCAATGTCGTTTGCTCACAGGTAGGGGCTCAATTATGAAGGGAAAATGGGTATAATTGTCGTATCAATTTAATAGCAATCTTTTAACATTGTATAGCTACGGTATGAACATTTGTTGATCAATGTCTGAAAATAGCACCTTTTTGTATTCGGCACTAAACTGTCCAAGAACAAAGTTATGTAAGTGCCTTTTTAGAGCCAGCAATGGGGATTTCGTTTCGATCTTAGAAAATTTAAGAGGTAATCGTTATATAGTGCGATTTTTGTGTTATTAGAGTCACTTATGAGTCTTTTGTAGACGAGACGCACGTCTGGCGTACAAAATCAATTATTAATCCTGGTATCTATGATAAGTTTAATTATGACACCTCATCAAATTATTTGAGTATAATGATTTACATAAAGCGACGCCAATGATAACAAATTGATGAATATCATAAATCTGCCCATGCTCTCAAACGTTAGTATTTGTGACTTTCAAAGATTATTTTTGAGCTTGCCTACTGACGATTATTTCATAAACACGTGTTGTGCATTTAGAAGTCATATAATTAGCATTTTGTTATTATCAATTGAAACCGTGCATCAACACCTGGAATTGTCTAGTTCCATTGAAAATAATATAGTCGGATACGATGAAAATATGAAAAAGGAAATTTCAGACAAATCAGTAGTCTAATAGTTTTTGGATAAAGACAAACATTTAGGAGATTCAGATTCGCAGACCAAAAAAAACGAGTATCTTTTTAATTGGTAAGGATACTTTTTTCATGTGACTAGATTATTCAACGTTTTAGAAGTCTACATTAACGGATGTTACAAAAAAAATTGATAGCAAGAGTACAATCAAAATTCATAAGTCAAACAGAAACCGTCAACACCATGGCAAAAAAAAACAACACTCTTCAATACACTTCGTATAACCGAAGGGTAAGTCACAAAAACCCCACCAAAAATGAGGGGTACTATCGGGTGCTCCTGAAAGGTAAACATATGTGACACCGTCGTATTGCTCATGGTTAGTACACGAGTCACATTTTACGATATCACAATCGAGGAAAAGATGACGAGATCGGGTTTCGACAATTTTAACATTTCATTGGTAATTTGTGACACAGACATTCCAATACCGTCAACCAAATCCCGAAAGTGTCTGTTAAACTGACACTACAAACCAGTAACAGTCTGGGCAGTATTTGTACTTGACTGTAATGATTTTATCATTGGCGTCGCTTTATGTAAATCATTATACTCAAATAATTTGATGACTTTTTTCACAATGATTTCATAAATACACAGTTCATGGAACCTTTTTTCTTTAAATAAGGAATATCATATAGACATTTCAGTTAAATCACGTCCGGAGGCAAACAAAGGGCATTCTTTACGGTTTCTATTAACTTTTGATTCTAAAAAAGAGATAAGTTGCTACTTCGAGTTTCAAATGATCAGCTTCTTAAAACTATTTTCAAAACATGTATGGTTTTAGGTACTTTTACATAAAAGTAATGCAAAAATGGCTAATTCCAGTTACACAAGGTCACTTTCGTCTGCCATTATAAAAATACATAAGATAGAAAACTCCTATTAAAAGTAATTAAAACACTTCGACTCAAATATATTTAAGTTTACCATGTCTTGACCAATTATTTGGCAAAAACCAAAGTACAGAACAGAACTCATAGTATATTAAGTCATTATCTTATCATTGATAATTTGTATCATATTTTTCGGATATGTCGGACACTTATTTCCTGTTTGCTGATATTTTAAATTTATCAATATGTTGAATCAATATAAGATTTTTGTCACTCACTACTGAACAAAATAAATTTATATTTTGTCAACATCTTGGCCGTGAAAAGTTGTAAGGTGGGAGTACGAGTATTTTACCACCTTTGCACCTATCATGGCCGACATTTCTTATTTTCATATGAGTCTTGAGTTCCTTCAGACACTTGTAAAACAAAAAAATTCTAAGAAGCTAGATCATTTAATTTTACATACAGGTATATTGGTGATGTTCTTTCCATTAACATTCCAAGCTTTTCTGATTGGGTCCCATTAATATGTCCTCCTGAACTTTAGATTAAAGAAACCACCGATACAGCTTCCTCTGCCTTATTTTTCGTCATTTACCTCGAATTTGACAACAGCAGTCATCATAGTACCAAAATCTATGAAAAACGTAAAGATTTCTTTTTCAAAATTATAGAAAAAAAAGCAAAATAACCTAGATACCGAACTCCAAGGAAAATTCAAAACGGAGAGTTCCTGACTTGGTACAGGCATTTCATAAATTTTCATCACATTAGCAGCAACATACCAACATCACCCGGGTATGGAGTAATAATTTCTAAACTCATACGATATTCAAAAGTTACTACTCAGTCTTTGTAAATCATCAGTGTATGAGCAAAAAACTAATTAGCCAGGATTTTGTCAAAGAACGTCTTTGAACGTCCTTTTTCTTAAAAGGTTCACAGGGAAGTACCAAGACATAATAGATAAATATTCAGTGTTTACTTCACAAATAACATAAGACGGTCTTGATTTATAGATGCTAGCTGCTGTAGTTGTGTATCTTTTTATTTACAGTTTTTCCTTTATTAGTCTCAGTGCTATTACGCTTCTTTTGTGGCGTATGACTATCTATGATGAGTTTATTGACGTAACTTGGTATTGTGAATCCCGTTAGCAGGGTTTTGACTTCGGGCGGTCCTGGTGGAAGTAGTTCCTGATGTGCTATTTGGACTCAAGAGGTTTTTAAAGTGTTGGTCATTTTGTTAACCCTTGTATTTATACTTTACTTAATTTGTACTTTATCAAGCAAGTGTATAATTTCAACGGTATGAAATATCAACTACACAAACGTTTTATCGGCGTCTTTGTCAATTTACTATCAACTACAAAAACTTTTCTGTTGGCGTCTTTGTCAAATTTATTTGCATGTTTATTGGAATGTGTTAGTCAGACGTGTTGTATGTCTGTGATGTGTGTTTACAGTTTTGCTGCTGGATCCCATTTATTGGGTTTGCTAGCCCAATGTTGTAAATATCACGAAACTATAAACAACTGCCATATAAGTGGGCGGTTTAGCTAGCTATAAAACCAGGTTTAACCCACAATTTTCTTCTGAAAATGTCTATACCAAGTCAAGAATGTTACATCTGTTTTTCACTCATTCCGTTGGTTGACAAGTTTGACTTTGTCAGTTTTTATGGACATCCCCTTTCTTGAATTTACCTTTGAGTTCGGTATTTTTGTTATACTTTTTTACATTATCAGTTGGTACGACATAGTTTTGTTGGAATAATAACTCTTGGACAGATAATCGGTTATTTGGTGGTATACATTGAAATCCTGTTCTTTTATTTTATCATGCAGTGTTTTGTAGACTTCATTTTCTATCAGTAGTGTTGTCCCATTGCCTTTTGAAATGTTGCCATTACAATAACATGATAAAATGTGTAAATTGTATTTCTTTAAAGTTGAAATGATATTATACATGTTCCAATAATCACTGATAATGTGCATTTGCATGTCTCTAAATCATGTTCACCTTATCAGACCTCTTTAATATAAAAATAAGAAGATGTGGTATGATTGTCAATGAGGCAACCGCATAGTCAGCTATAAAAGGCCTCGAAATGACAAATGTAAAACCATTCAAACGAGAAAACTAACGGCCTGATTTATGAAAAAAATAATGGACAAATATGATATACAGCAACAAACGACAACCACTGAATAACACTCTCTTGACTTGGGACAGACATATACAGAATGTGGCGGGGTTAAACTAGTTTAAAGGCGCGTCAATCCTCCCCTAACTTGGGACAGTGGTGTAACAGTACAACATAAGAACATACTATAAAATTCAGTTGAAAAGGGCTTAACTCATCAGATCGATACAAAGGCTATCTAATATGTTTGAGAGTATGAGAATTACGGGGTTATCTTGTCATAGGCTATTGGGTATAACGATTGTAAATTTTATAAGGTATCACACATCAGTATATTAGAATAATGAAATATTATGAATTACAAAGAAAAACGAATAAATTATGCCTATTTATACAAATTGGAGTCATTACTTTGTTACGTGGTAAATGAAATATGTGCCAGTAAATAAAATCATAATAATAAAGTAATTATAAAAATACAGAAACGTTTTAATTGCAGTCATAACTTATAATTTATGATCAAATACCCTTTTATCGTCAGTTTTATTAGCCCGTTTATATACCAAAAATTA